TAATTTCACTTTTACAGCTTAAAATTAAAATTGGTTGGTTATTGATGGCTTATATCCATTTCCGTTTTCATTCCCTTAACACTTTTTTTCTATTTTTGCATTCAAAAATTAATATGTATTATTTATGCTAAAATTATCTTACCAATTAATTTATTCATATTTTTTATCGTCTTTTCTTTTTTGACTTTTAATTTATTTCTTCCTTTTTTAGTATTGTCGGGGTGAGTGTTTGGGCGTGGGAACGTGGAACGCACGCTTATAAAATTGACGCTTAACTATTACTTAGAACTTCAAGATTTTGTGTAGATATCTATTATAGTGATATTTATCGTCTCTACAAATTTCAGAATTTTCTGATTTTTATTTCAGAATTTATGGTCAGAAAAATACGAAAAATGGGCATTTTTTGAAGAAAAATCGTTATTTTTGACAATAACTTTCCAAATACTTAACCAAAAATTCTGAAATTTTTAATTCTGTTAAAAGGCACGATTTAGAATGTTTCTGCAAAATTTCAGAATTTTCTGATTTTTATTTCAGAATTTATGGTCAGAAATGGTGTCAAAATGGGCATTTTTAAAGAAAAATAGACATTTTTGACCATAACTTCCCAAATACTCGTCCAAAAATTCTGAAATTTTTAATTCTGTTAAAAGACACAATTTAGAATGTTTCTGAAAAATTTCAGAATTATAGGATTTAATTTGATTATTTTATAAACAAACGCCGAAACGTGTCCGCGCCCAGTCAACCCTTAATTATCCGTTTTTCTCTCTCTTTTACCCTGAATTTTCTTTTACCTTTTTCTAATTTTTTTATTAAAAATGATAAAATAGTATTTTACAATATAATTTACATAAAAATATACAAATATGGAAATAAATTATATTTCTTTTTGTTTTATAAAAATAATTCTATTTTTATTTTTTTTAAATATTAAATTTTTAATTAATTATTTATATGTAGGAAAATTAAAAAAATATTTTTGTTCATTAAAAAATAACGGAAATTTTAAATTGCGAGAGAGAATATTTACAATGTTTTTTAAATATAAAAAAATTTTTTGAAAAAAAATTATTTTTCATGTCGGGAATGGAAGATGCCGCTTGCTAGCATGTACAACGTTTAGGGAAGGGTTTAAGATGTAAAAAAGGAAAATTAAATCTTAACTCAATAGCTCAGGCAAAGGTTACACACACCCCGACTTTCCTGGGTCGAAAGGATTTTCTGGCGGGAATTAGAAGGGGTTTGCGTCAGGACTAGGCGCAATTGGAAATTTATTTTCGCAATTTTAATTTTAAAATCCGCAAACGTAATCCGCAAGTCAAAAAAAACACGCAATTTCATCCAATCCGCAATACGACATCCGGAATTGTGTCCAGCCCTGGTCTGCATACACCCCCTAACTTTGTCATTTTAACCGGATGTTGCTAGTTTCGTTTTTCGACTTTTTGTTTATTTTTCGTCTTTTTTTAGTTTTTGGCTTTCGTTTACTGTATTTTGTTTTTTAAAATCTACTTTGGCAAATCAAATTTTAAAAAATTAAATTTTTGTAAATATTTCTGTTCCCGAAATAGACATTTAAGCAATATTTTTTTAAATTTATTTTAAAGAATAATATTTTTGTGTTTTGATTAAAATACCTATTTTTATATTTTCTCCAAAACACTACAAATTTTACAACAAAAATTTAAAATTAAAAAAAAATAATTCTAATTTTAATTTTAAATATTTACGTGTCTAATTTTTAAAAATTTTAAATTATTTTTAGAATTTTATTGTTTAATTTTTTATTTTGTTAGACAAATATTTTTAAACTCCATATTTTATTTTTAAAAATTATTTAAACAAAAAATTTTATTTATTTTTTTCGAAAATTTACAGAGCGAACCAAGAGTAATCGGAAATTATTTTTTATTCAAAAATTAACGGAAAGATTATCTGAGATTGAGAATTAAATATGGATTTAAAAATGTTTTTTGGATTTTTTTTGAAATAAAATTTCAAGGAAAAATTCGACAAAGTTTTGCAACATTTTTTGCAAGTTTTTGGATATTTTTTAAATTATATTAAATACCTATCTTCAATTTGAGTAAATTTATTCAAAATAATTGCCGGTCGATTACTTTTTGTGTAAATCTTAGCGTCCCGAAATAATCCAGATTTTTTAAAACAATTCTCGGAACGACGGGATTTTGAAAATTAAATCCGTGATTTTCAGCAATCCTTTCACTTAATTTTTGAAAAAAATTATAAAAAATAATCTCAGGTTACTTTTGATTCATTTTTGGAATTAAATCCATGAGTTCCCTCCTGTTCGAAATCTTTTTCAAATTATCCCGTTAGGCGATCTCGTGAGGGGGATTTTACCAATCTCTATTTCTTGGGCACTATATAATTTTAAATATTTTTTTTCCTTTATTGTTTAACATTTTCTTTTAATCAAAAACAAAATTTCAAAAAAAAAGAAAACCTTCAAAAATTCTCTGGAATAATTTTTTTATTAATAAAGTTGTTTATCAACAATTCCCTTATTTGCACTTTTAAAAATATTTTTTTTAATTTGTTGCATTTTGCGTCAATGAAAGAAACCTTTTATTTTAATTTTATTTTTCTTTTTATTTTTATTTATTAATTTTTCTTTTAGGCTTTTCCCTATTATTTATTAATAAAAACAGCTTAAAAAAGGCTTTTTAAATTATAATACATAGTTGCGAATTGAAAAAAAATTTTTATTTAAAGTTTGTTAATATTAAATAAAAGCCTGGCAAAATCAGAGATCTGAAGCCTCAACTAAAAATATAATTAAAGAATTATAACATTTATAAATATAATTTTAATTATATACTTTTAATATGTATTATGTTTATTTTGAGCTTATTCACGCCCAGTTATTAAGCTCTGATTTTTAATATTTCCATTTTTGAAAATTTTTAGGTTAAATTAACGGTTTCCGATTTTTAGCTCTGATATTTTTTAAGAAAAATTTTTAAAAAATTTTTCTTTCGTTGTTTTTGCAAAATTTAAAAAATTTCTAAGCTTTTTTTTAAATTTTAAAGAATTAAACTCTAATATTTAATTAAAAATTAAATGACAAAAAATTAAAAAATTATTTTCTTTTTTGATTTAAAAATTACTTCAAGATGTATGAATTAGAGACCGGACTGGTAGTGTTGTACAAGAATCGAGATTTCTTCTCAGTCCGGTCTTTAGTATGAACTACCTAGTTTAAAATTTGACTTTAAATTGTTTTTATAAATTAAAAACACGTAAAATTTATTAAATTTTACGTATTTTTACAAAATTTTATTGCCATTATTTAATTTATTATTTTTTATTTTTAATTGTTTCCCGTCAATTAAAAAATAAATATTCTTTATCCAAAAAGGAAGACGATAATTAAAATTGTTATTTTTAAAATTATCATTTTGTTAGAGAATTTTATTTAAAATTAAATTGTATCAGTTTTAAAAAATTTTCGAAAAATTATTTCTAAATGCCAAAAAAAAAAAGAAAGTTGGCCAAATAATTTTTTTAAATTTAACGGCAAATTAATATTTGAATGGGTCAGAACTAGCGATCGGGAGGAGACATGAATTCGAATAAAAATTGCGGTCATCGAGAATCGAGATTTTTTCACGAATTTCGATATGACCTATACGAAACGTTTAGTTTCGTTAGTTTCTTTATGCTTTTACTATTTCGTCTCGTTCCGGGACGAGACAGTTTTTAATTTTCTCGTTTTGTTTTGTTAACCAAATGATTTTTATAAAATTTTGTTTCTGTTTGTTTCGTCTGAAAATTTTGAAGTTTCAACAGGTATGATCTCGACCCTTCCAATCCTTTTATATTCAGAATACTAGAATTCGAGCCCGCCTCATTTAGTTAACTTGGAGGTGATAATTTTGTTTTTATAACGAGAGTGAGGTATAACCCAATGTCGATTAAACTGCGGTCATTTCCAAGGATCCTGTCGACTAAAAAAATTAAATTTTGATTTTTAAAACCTCTGTCTATTAAATCTCTTATTAAAAAAATTTTTAATCTTTATTTTAAAGAAAATTGATTAAATTAAAAATTATTCACATCCCTGCAAATTTCATTTTTTTTTTTACAAAATTTAGTTAAATAATTTAAAAATAATTTGCTTTTAATCTTTTAATTTTTATTTAGTATAAATTTCATTAATTTTCCTTGTTTGGTTTCCTTTTTTAATAAAAAAATTTTTTAATAGTTAATTTTAATTATTTTTAAAATTAAAAATAGAGAAGCCAGGAATTGTTTTTAAAATTTTTTTTAAGAGAGAATGACTTATTATTTGTAAAAAAATTTTCTTCTATTAAGAAATCTTCAAAAAATAATTTAAAATGAATAATAATAACAGCAATATTTTAATAAAATCAGAATTAATAAATGAAGAAGAAGAACAAAAATATATTTTTACATCAGATAGACAATTAGTGGATTTCGTGGAAATTGGAACTCTTTCTTTTTTAATTGTTTTTGGAACTCTTTTAAATTTTTTGTCCTTTGCCAGATTAATTCGTTTTTCTCGGTGAGTTTTTAAGGGGGCGATTAAAGTAGGGTTTTTTTTTGGAAAAATCAATTGATTTCCAAGACAAGAGAACTTTTCAGGTCCCTTTTTGAACCCTCCAGGGACCAATAACTTAGAAAGTCCTCGCTCACACGAGGATGTAAAACTACAAGAACTAGGGAACAGTCAAGATCAAGATCCTTTTAGATTTTGAGAGGTTCGAGATAATAGGAGGTCGAAGGTTCGATTCCATGTCTGGTGTCAAAGCTATTATTTAACTTTCACTTTGTCAAATCTTTAATTTCCAAGACAAAGGAACCCTTCAGGCTTCCTTTTGAACCTTATGTGGTCCCTATTCTTCTCAAATATATTGGAGGATTTTGAACCATCCCTTGGAAAAAACTCATTTTTGGGTATTTTTCTTTTTAAAAAAGATTTGTGATTAACAAATTCTTCGCATTCGAGAATGACTCAAACAAACTTAAAAAATTCTTTTTTCAGAGGTTTTCCATGTAAAAACTCCAAAGCTTTATTTGGCAGCCCTTTACATATGAATTCTTTTACTCTGCTCAAATTTAATTTGGCAATTACTGATTTTGCTATTTTACTTGTTCACGCACTTGGAAAATTAATTTGGTTATTGTCTTATCGTTGGTTATTTGGAGATATTGGTTGTAGACTTTATCAGTTTCTCTCTGCTTTTACTTATTATTCCAATTCTAATGTTGTTGTAGCTATTGGTATTGATAGGCTAAAGGTTTAAAAATTATGAAAGTGACAGAAAAAATTAAAGTATAGGGACTTAATACCTTATCTACCTCCCCTAATTTCTTTTTGGTCGCATAAACAGGAAAATCTCGATATAAGCGACATTCGTTTCTGTACCCTCCATTCTTTCTCATCGTTTCTTTATTAATGAGTTGAATTTACTTGAGAACAGATCAGCAATAAACATTCAAATTTTTAGGTCGTTTATTCAAGCCAAGTTCAAGGAAGCAATGGTTCTTCAATCCGTAGGGTACGGCTTTTCTTGGGAATAGCTTGGGCCTTAGCCTTTATTTGTGCATTGCCCCAAATTTTTTTCTGGACAAATTTTGAATTAAGCAAAGGATGGTCTCAATGTACAACAATTTGGCAGGTGTGTGAGGATATTTAAATTATATAATGATAAATTTGTGATAGAATAGTTAACTAGTGGAAGATAAAAATGAGATGGTAATTTAGAGAAATGTCGATCAAGACTTTGTCAAACGTTGAGAACCAAAAATTAAATGGAACCAGACTTATTTACGGCGGATACAGACGGGTCTCCGGATACGACGGATATGAACTTACCATATCCGTATCCTTTACCAAGCCTGAAAAGGACATGAAATAAAATACTAGATCTAGTTAGAATAACAGTAAGATCAAGAATGATTTAGAAGAACGTATCCATTACCAAGCCTAGAAGAACGTATCCATTACCAATAGATCTGAATCTTAATGTTCTATAGTTAATCTTGATTTATCACCCTTTTTAGTAACTATTTTCACCTATTTTAAATGATACTAATAATAATTTCAAAAATCTCCCTCTCATTTTAGATAGCCGAACACCATCGTTCCAACAATTCAACCCGCCCAATGTCCAGACATTGGTCTCTCAATAAACAAACACAGCTTTATTATGAACTACTTCACCAAGCTGGAGTTTTTGTCATTCCTTTCATTTCCCTATTTGCTTCCTATTTTTTAATTGTTCTGAGAGTTATACGTTACACTCTAAAACCAAATCAACTATTAGCTAATTGTAATTCTTATTCTTCATTAATTGCCCCAGAAAATTGGAGTGGAGGAAATGACGATATTAACAACAAAAAACGTCAGCTTTCTTTAAGAAAATTTTCAAAGGCTAGTAACGGCCAAATAAAGGGAGAAATGAGGAGAAGTAGTAGCATTAGCACCTGGCAAGTTTTTAATTAGAAATTGATTGGGGTACGTCTAGCCGCGTAGCTGATAAAACAAAATTTTGTCAACCTAGAAGCGTGAAATTTTGTTTAGTTATCCCAAATAGTGTCATCTTCCCTTCCCTAAATTTTTAGAATTTTCTCTCATAGAATGTTAATGGTGTGCCGAAAATGTTTAGTAAATCCCAGAAAACACCAAAAATTCGATCTAATGCGTTTTCTAGGTCATAAAGGTTGAAATATGTACACTACCAAAATTTTTAAAATTTTCAGCATAGATAATTAACACTATTAAATAGATTTATAAAAATTTCATGGCTCTAGGGGTTTCTAAGGCTGTTTTATAAATTTGTGAATATGCTGGACCAGCTGAGCTTCCCCTACTATTTTTAGAAACCAGAAATAAAATTTTAAATTTTTAGGCGATTTTCCAAAGACTTGAATTGTTTTCCTTTTTGGAGAAAATATAGCGATGACTGTCGCTCTCCAGCCACACTAGCTGCTGTGCCAGAAGAAGAAGTTATTGGAGAAGAGAGGGGGAGTGCAGCACCCCCACCATCACCAAAAGCCCCAACTTCTTTAAGTCTTTTCTTGTTTGCATCCTCTACACTTTCCGGAAGTTCTCCAAATTTACGCTATCAAACAAAAAGGAATTCGAGTATTTTATCAAGATTGAGTAGGGCAGCATCTGAAAGGAATTCGAGGAGAAGAAATGCTGAAAATCATACTGCTAGGTAACAAAAAGAGAATAAATCAAAAAATAATGATAAATTATAAAAACTATTATTTGAATATTGAGAGACTTTTGTATATTGAAAACCTTGAATATTACAATTTGATTGGCTCCACTTATAACGATACAATGTGGCAATGCCCTAGGATGGTATATAGGCACCTTTCAGTGTACTCATATATGGGTGGCCATTCCTATCTTTTTCTGAATCTTCTCATTTAAAAAAAAATAACATCAATATTCTCTTATGTCTCTTGTAGAAACTCCTGTATAAGAGACTTATCTGATCCTTCCTTGTATTAAAAAGCATATTTACTGTTTGACAATACTTAATCCATTTAAATTTTAAAACAAGATCCTCTTCAAAAATTTTTCATTTATTTAAAATAAATTATTACAGCAACAACGGTCTACAACGCAAAGCCAAAAGGTGTTCGTTAAACGTCCCTCCATCAACAGAAAATTCTTTAAATAAAAAGTCTTCACGTACGGGAGGGGGACGTCTTTCCCAGCCAATTTATATCAACCACTTATATGACGAAAAACAACAAAATAATTCTCTTAGAAAACAATCTTCAATGTGTTCAACTTCTTTTTGTGCCCCTAGAGCGAAAACTCCCCTTTGGAGAAGACAATTACGTTCAAAAGTTTTTTTGCGATCTTTGCTTATTGTGGCTGCCCATTGTGCTTTTTGGCTTCCTTATAATTGTAAAGAAATAATTTTTGGAATAATTAACCTTTATCAGGGGGCGAAATACAGACTGACCCAAATTACTGTCAAAAAATTGAATCAAAAACAACTATCAAATAGTGACTAATAAAATCTTGGACCTAATTAACACCAGCCTAAATAAAGGACAAAAAAGAAATAAGAAGCAATAACTTCTAAAATTATGATAATTAAATTGAGGGCCTCCTTGTTCCCTGAAATATGTATCGTTGATAAATTCCCTTTTCTCTTCCCGACTTTTGAAAATTAACTAAGGATATTGAGCATAAATTTTTCTGATTAATTTTAATACACTTAGACCCTAAGATCATAAAAAACTAGTCCTTATTTGAATAATGAATCGAGCCGTCAATATTCCTTGTGAATTTAGTCGGCTCTAACTCCTTTTATCAACTAAAATACTATTTTTTAATTAATTAATTTTTAGTGCTCAATTTATTGCGATTTAGTGATGAATCTCTTTATTCAACGTTTGTAGAGAAAGGAGCTTTACTTGTAGAAGATTTAATAGTAATGAATGCAATGCTCAATCCTTTACTTTATGGATATGGAAAATAAATATATATATTTAATTTTTGATATCTTTATCAGATTTTATAGACTACGACTTTGAGAACCCGACATTTGAGGATATTGATCCTAACTTTTGCTTACATGTATTTAAAAATATTCATATTTAATTTCAAAAAATTAAGCTTCAAAATAGGCTTAAATCAAATAAACTCAAAATCGAACAATTAAAAAAAAGTTATGTCCTCCAATAAGTTTTCGGCCAAATTCCCTAGTTTTTGGGCCATAACTTTACTTCATTACCATAATTTTTTTTCAAACTTTGTATCATTTTAATGACAATTACTAGCTTGTTTTTATAAAATTAGACACTTCTCTTTATCTCTTCCCAACAACTTCTGATCCCTTTTAATTGTCATATATTCCCAAATATTGTGTTCTTAAATGTCGCCTCATAAATTTATGTAAAGATCTAGTCAAATATTTTTTTATATTTATTCTTGCCATTAATTACATATATTTTTTAATTAAATAAAATCAATAAAATAATAAAATAATTAATATTCTCCTCAAAAACATTGTTTTTTGTTTAAAAAATTATTTCCAGAAATTAAAGTAAATACATATTCGCGCATTTTGGGGAAAAACAAACACAAATAAATACAATAAAACAAAAATATTCTTCTTTCTTTCTAAAAAAGTCCCTAAATTAATATAATAAAATAATATTTTTTAATAAATAAATATCAATAATTTCTCCCTATCTTTATGCTCAAGCATGAGACAAATTTTATTTATTTTAATTTTAACATTTTGTACAATTTTTATAAAAATGTTTGTAATTGCTGATTGGGTTGATGATGTAATTGAGGTAAATTTCTTTGAAGTTAAGAGTGGTTTTTAATTAATAGAAGCCTCATACGCCGAGTTCCCCTTAGACAGGAATCCTTAATTAATTTTACTTTTCGACAGGGAGGGGTTAGAAATTTTCGAAAAACTTAAATTACCTGATTTTCTATTTACAACCCTAATATGTAGCTTAATTATGGGATTTGAATGGAAGTGCCATAAGATTTACTGACCGTGATACTTTCTAATAGGAGATACTTTAGTGGAAGATACAATAAAAATACATTTTAGCGGAGGATACATTCTTTGATACATTCTAAATTTTTCGTTTTATATAAGGCAATATTAGCCCCGATATACTCGATTCCAAAATTTTTCAAGGTTTTTTGACTTTATGCTATCTATAAACATTCAAAAAAGTTTCCTGACAGAAGTAAATAAAAAAACTTTCTTAAAACATTCGAATAAATTTAAAGATAGTTAACACTAAAATGGCTCCATGGCACGCACTTTTAGAAAAATATGACAGGGCATTGCAAACAATGGAGTCAGAAGAAAGAGAATTATCACGAATAAAACAAGTTGTTAATTAAAAAAATGAATTTAAAAAATATTTTTATTTAAAGATTATCGAAAAGAAGATTGAAATGCATCAAAAAAAGTTGAAGAAACTTTTAATGAAAGTTCTAGGAAATTCAACTTCGGTGAGTTTATTTTGCTCTTTGGTATCCTTTCTCTTACATGTGGAGGACATATACTGTAGATATTCCAATAAAAGCTTATCCATAATAGTAGCTTATGCGCTACTAGAAACCCGCTCAATGTGACCCACAAAAAATAAAAGTTCAGAGGCCTTTATCAGGGCCTTCGTGTTAAATGGCTTTCATTAGAGTTGCCATAATCTGACAAATAGAGTTTTCAATGCGCTCTAAATCTATCAGATATTTGGCCCGGAAATGAATTTAACAGTCTAGGTTGTTAAAAAATAGGCACGGAAAATCACCTCGATTTACTTTAATTTTGCTTTATTAATTTCAGGAATGCAAATTTTAATGGAACAAAAAATATTTTTCTGCCAAATTGTTTATATTTCACTTTTCTGAATCTACATACTCATACTTCTCGATTTTATTACTATAATTTATTAAAAAGTAAAATACTGTATTCACTCGAACTTTCCTAAATTAAATTATACCATTTGCTTTAACTCCTTCCCCTCTCTCATAGAAAGGTTCAAAAAATAATCATCCACCCTCGAAATCTCTAATTTGCGCTCAATTATCAAACCTTCAGCAAAGTTTGAAATTTTCAACCTCCAGTTAAGGGTTAATTACCAAGAGTAATTATTCAAAAAAATATGGTATTTCATTTTTTACATTAAAAAATAATTATACACATTTTTATGAATTTTTATAATTTTATGATTCACCATAAAATCTAATTAGAAAAATAAATTTTTAATAAATTCTATAATTATATTCTCTAACAAATTATTTTATTTTACATACTTAGTCATTTAAAATTTTTGGGAAAAAAGTAAAAAATTAAAAAAATACTTTGGGATATTTATATTAAAATTCTCTCAGATGATTCAAGTAAATTAACAAAATTTTTTAAATTATAAATATTTAATTAACTTTTTAATGTACATAATAATGACAACCATTTATTGATATTAACAAATTAAATATTGCTTCTATTTATTTGAAATACAACCAATAAACACAATTATTTTAGTTAATTTTATCTGATTTTTCAAATTTTTTTTAAAATTTTAAATGCTATAATAGAAAATTGAAGTTTCAATAAAATAAAATCTCACTTGAGTATTCTAGTGGGGTTAAGAAATCGTAAAGTGATGGCCTACTAAATCAGAGTATACAGCAGGGATACTGCCGATTCCCAAAAATCGGGAATTCCCGATGTTTTCTGGGCCCGGAATCTCAATTATCGAAAGCGGGAATTTATTTTTTATGGGCAGGATTCTTAATAAACAATAATGGGAGCTTTTTCTCTAACAAGGATTGCTACATTAAGCTATTTTATAAATCGCTATTAAAATACATATGTAGGAAAAAAGTAAGATTAGAAAAACCCAAAATATCCTCCCGATAATACATTAAGTCCATATCAAGTTTAATTATTAAATTTTTGTCTATTAGATAGCATTTAATTTTTAATTAGATTTTAAATA